TCCTTCAACACAGCCCAGAAATAAACCAGCCTATAACAGATTCTTCTTGATTGTAGAGAGGGGAGTAACCATATCATTGACAGAGGTAATATACAACATATCTTCAACAACACTTATGCCCTTGTCATGCTTGGGCATAGGTGCGGTAATTAAATTTGGGGTCTCCGGAGGATCAAACTCAATTTCTTTATTATCGATCATGTCCTGAAACTTGATCTTCAGGGCCTAGCAACTGTTGGTGTCATGACCAGGAATGTTTGAATGATATGCACACCTCGCGTTTGGATTATACTTTAGAGAGAAGGTTTTGGGATTCTGAGGAGGATCCCACAGTGAAATGAGTTCAGCCTTCAGAAAATGTTGTAATGTCTAAGAGAAAGGCATTACAATTTTGGTAAACTGCCTCGGCGGAGTGTCTGGCCTTCGTTGATTACCCTGCTATTGTTGTTGAACAAGCGTCAGATTGGAGATTAATACTGCTCCTATAGACTGATGGCAGTTATTTTTACTACGGCTCTTCTGGCCATAGACAACATTGACTTCCTTTTTACCTCCAAATGGCTTCTTCATAGCATTTGAAGATGTAGCCATCGGGATCTTCCCACTCTTGATACCGCTTTCAATTTTTTCCCATGTCAAAATCATCTCTGTAAAACCAGACGATGAGCTTCTGATCAGTAGATTAAAGAACGGGTATGTCAGATTGCCCATGAACATATCCATCATTTCCCGATCAGTCAAGGGGGTTTGTACCCTTCTAGTCAAGTCCCTTCATTTCTGTGCATATACCTTGAACCCTTCATTAGAGCCCATGGACATATTCTGTAATGGCACTCAAGTTGGTTCCAGGTCAGTGATGTATTGATACTGATTATAGAAAGCAGAAACCAAGTCTTCCCACATATGAATGTTGGTTCCCTCTAGCTGATAGAACCATTCCAGTTGAGTGCCAGCCAAAATCTCTTGGAAGAAATGGACCCATAACTTCCGTTTAGCAGTATGGGGCTGTATTTTTCGAACATACAACCTCAAATGGAGTTTAGGACAAGAGACCCCATCGTACTTAGAAAAGACAGGGACCTCGGACTTGGGTGGGATTAGGGATGGAAATGGGTCGGGTCGGGTGCGGGTTTCACACTACCCACACCCGCACCCGAAATCATCACCCGAACCCGAACCCGAACCCGAAGGCTATTCGGGTGACAAAATCACACCCGCGCCCACACCCGTTGGGTTCGGGTTTTTTCACCCAAACCCGAACCCGAAGGCTATTCGGGTGACAAAATCACGCCCGCACCCGTTGGGTTCAGGTTTTTTCACCCAAACCCAAACCCGCACTAAAAATCAAAAAAAAAATACAATTAAAATAAGGTCTCTTTACATTGTCTTCAAGAAAATGCAATCACAATTATCTTAACATAGTCTTCAACATCTTAACATTACAATTAAAATTAAATTCTACAATCAAATTACAACTTTTCAACAACAACAAGCTAATATATTACAACTTTCTTGTGTAAGATTAGATGTTCCTTCCGGCTCCGGAGTTGTGTTCACTTGATCTATTTTACCTATTACAAAGAAAATATATTTCACATGTTAAGAAACACTAATAGATATTATCATCATAATTTTAAATTGTAATAACAAACATGTGAAACTTAAAACATATAAAACATGTAACTTAATTCTTGGTAATGCTGAACTTTTAAATTGTAATAAGAAGAATCCTTTAGACCACTTCTTGATACATACAGAGATGTAATAGCTTACAACATAGATAACATATCGCTTTTAAATTGTAATAATTTTAACATGCCATATTCTTGATAATTTATCATGTTTGCAACTGGAATAAAACTGCCTATAATAATGTTTATCTACTAACTTTCAGCATGCTTGCATGCGCGTTAAATATCATGTTTTTGAACTGTCTAGAAACATAAGCACAACACTAAAAGAACTGTCTAATATCAAAAGCATTAGTGCAAATTAGTCGGGGCAACAATGGTGGAAGATAGAAACAATAATACTCACCATGTTAACATATAGAACAACAACTTCTAATCTTCAAAATGGTAACCCAAACAACCTTCCATCAACTCAGCTGTATTAACAAATAAATTGATGTTAAATAAAACACTAAAGCTTAAAACTTCTACACCAAATGAAGTACAAAATACCTTCATCGTCTGACTCCATTTCATTCAACACAGTAGAAATTTCTTCTGCAACTCTAAAAATTCCTATATATATTATATAACAAGAAAAATTAGTAATATATTATTTGCCAATGACATACCAAAGTAGTAATACATTATATAACAAAAAAATTAAGGTAGAAAGTAAAAATAATTTGACAATGACATACCGTTATTCTTAGCAGCCCATAGCCAACTCCTAGCACACATCAAAGCCTCTACGGTAGTCCAGTTAAGTCGTCTACGATGAGGACTCAATATTCTACCACTATTACTGAAGGTCGATTCAGAAGCTACTGTAGAGATAGGAATAGCTAACACATCTCTTGCAATTGCTTGAAGTGTTGGATACACAACTCCATTTACCTTCCACCAATTCAAAATGTCAAATTCTGGAGTATTTTTTATAACTTGCTCTTTCAAATAATGTTCTAACTCATACTTAACACTTGAACTTGAGTCTTCAGCAACGTCAATTGTCTCAACGTATGCATCAAATTCAGCCTCGTCATCAATAATAGCAGTTGTACCAATGGATGGAGCAGTAGGTTGTGCATCTCTAAGTTTAATCTGTTGATAATCATTGAGCAAATCATAACACATGTCTTTGATTCTACTAACTTGTGCACTTGATTCTTCTCCATACAACTTAGGAAACCAGAAATTAAGTACAACCATCTTCTTCCTAGGATCCAAAACTGCAGCAACTCCCATCATATCATGAACACCACTCCAATAATTTTGAAATTTTTCCATCATTCTTGTGGCCATCATCTCAATAATTGAATTGGAGGACTTCTTCCATTCCTCTATTGCCAACTTAATCTTACAAATCTTAGGAAAGTACAAGTTGGCAGTTGGATATTTTGTACCAGAAATCAACTCAGTTACTTCATTAAATAATTTTAAGCACCCACAAACATCTTTAGCAAATTGCCATTGTGAATTAGTTGGAAGACAAGTGTACAAAGACTCACGTTGCTTCAACCGAATAAATACATCCTTGTACTCTATGGCAATATCAAGCATCTTATATGTGCTATTCCATCTTGTTGGACAATCTAGAGCTAACTTTCTAGTGCAAATAATTCTCAATTGTCTAGCGGTATCTTCAAATTTTTCATACCTTTTAGGTGTAGCACTCCAAAATCCTACACTATCCCGAATATTTTCTATGCCATCCTTAATCACTTGTAGCCCCTCCTGAACAATTAAATTTAGGATGTGCGCACAACAACACATATGTAACAAAGACCCATCCCTTATTAAACATTCCAACGACAACTTATCCTTAATTTTCCTAATCATTGAGTCATTTGTGCTACAATTATCTAAAGTAATCGTAGAAAGCTTTGAATCAATGTTCCAGTCCATTAAACAATTAACAAGTGCTTCAGCAAGTCTTTCACTAGTGTGAGGGGCTGGAACATAAATGAACCTAACATAATATTTACAAAAAACAAGTCTTTCACTTATTGTCATTAAGAACAAAAAAAGAAGATACAATTAAGTTATAAAATATAAACATTGTTACCTCAAGATTCGACTCTGTAAAGTCCACGAGCCATCAATATAGTGAGCCGTAACCGCCATATACCCTTTTTTTTGGTTGCTTGAAGTCCACATATCTGTGGTAATTGCCACTCTCCCTTCATGGTTATCTAACATCTTCATAGCACATTTTTTCTCAAAATCATAAACTTTCAATACCTCCTTCTTGATTGTGTTTCGAGTAGGAACTTTAAACAATGGTTGGAGAGAAACAAAGACTCTTCTAAGACCAATATGATCCACAATTGATAGTGGATAATCGTGCATAATAATAGCTTCAGCAATCAACTTCTTCACATGTTCTGGATCATAAGTTCCAATTTCCAACTCTTGCTTTCCTTCTGAGATAGTCGGTAGGAGAAATGGTTGTCCTTTGTCATGGTTTATAGTCTTGATCTTTTTTTGAATACAACTCAAGAGATGTCCTTTCAAGTGATTTGTTCCATTCTTTGAAGTGCCACTAAGTTGTTTTTTACACCAGATGCATTCAGCCTTATCTTTTCCATTCACTTTCATCTTTTTAAATTCTTGCCACACATTAATTCTAAGTTTCTTTGATGCAAGTTCTAAAATTGTATCAATTTCTTCTTGTTGCCCAATATCAGGTTCAGGTGTCGGATTCGGATTAGAAGATACCTCCTGAGTTGGACATGTACTTTCTTGTGTAGGATTAGATGCTCCTTCTGGTTCCGGGGTTGTGTTCACTTGATCCATTTTACCTACTACAAACAACAAGAAATTTCATAAACAATTGTATAAAAGAAAATGAGACTTTAAGAAGGCACGAAAAAACATACCACCACAAGATTCATAATCGCAAACACCTTAACATTCATACAAAGTTTAAAAAAGAAATTAAAATGATAAAAACTATTATTGATAAAAGCTATTATTAAAAGTAATGTTTTTACACGAGACAACATGGTTTTGTTTCAAACATGAAGTTATATCTCTCTTTTACAACTGTCAAAGATTCACAGTCCAGCAGCAGTATGGTTTTGAAACATACTTTTAGTTTATGTGAACAGACATAGCATAACTTTTATACTATCAAAGTAGAGTACGCAAGTAGTGTGTACTTTGGTCATGGTTAAGTTTATATAAAGTGAGAAAACTTGGTTCAAAGTGCAATGTACTTCTGCATTATCATTGATAAGAAAACTCCATATTTGAAAAAGGAGTAGTCCTTGATAGATAGATAAACTTTTGGTTTGATTTTGTTAAAATAAAAAGGTAATAGTGATATAGATGAAGATCTTTCTCACGTAACTAAATTGTATTATTCATTTCACATCAAAATTTTGAAGTCAACAATCGTTTCTCTATAATAATTTCAGTTTCAAAAAGCCTAATGGTACTTCTATACAATTTCTAATCATAACTTCAAATATATCAATAACATTATATGGATTTCACTCTACTATTAAGTTTAGTTTCAAATCATAGGTCATTATGAACATCAAACTTCAGTAAAATTATCTGGACATTATTTTTCGATAAATCATCGAAACAAATTGCATTGGTGAATTAACATATCAACTTGCATTCATATAAATGATGATAGAGATACATACAAGGATCCTCAAAATCTCTGATGAGTCATTTATAAAAAGGTTCATACCTCTATGTGAAGCTCCAATAGATGCAGTGTGCAATTTCAACTTTTTGAGAAAGTCTAGCTTCGGCACCTCCAATAGACCTTGCAATGTTTTCTTTGTTATGATGTTTTCAATTCCTATGTACACCAATTCTATAAAAGCGATTATATAGAAGAGAAAATTAATCAAATTCTATACAAAATTATTGAATAGGAAACATAACAGTTATGAAATTGATTGAAGAACTACAATTTACTTGAATATACCACATTCATCACATTGCTTTGAAATCTGAAACATTGAACTAATATTCAATACTAAAATTCATAATAACATTAACAACATCGTCAATAACATAGTTGAACAAATGGAAGAACAAAAAATCAAACTCGGAATTCAAAACACAGTACCTTGGTCATAATAAGTAAATGTTTAAAAAAAACTTATAAGTTGTTCTCAGCTTATTTCCATTGTTTATTTTGATAAATCCACTCATGGAGCTTTAAAAACAGCTTATTTAAAGTTTATATGGAATTTACTCTTGCAAACAAACCAATGAAGATTTGAAAATATAAAAGAGCAGATTCAACATGCTCTTCAACAAGTGGAAGAGAAGACTAAAATCCGTGATGAAATTCGAGCTGAAAGCCAGACTAAAAAGGTAAGAAAATATGCATAACAGAACATATACAGAGCATAAACCAGCATATCAGCAAGGATAACTAACAGACATAAGGCCTGAAAATACAAATAAATTATTTCATTAGTAGTCTGAAGCATATATGAAAAGCACCAAGTTACTTATTACACCCCAAAAAGAAGGAAAAAAGTTCAGCTTTCTATTCAGTGAAATGGATAATAAGCAAGTACTCTTATTTGAAAGACTTGAATTTGAAATTAAGAGATTCAAAATTCTATTATTTGTAATTTATATCCAGGTCAGAATCTCACTGCTGCTAACAGGGGTAACTGTGTACACCTAGTTATATGATTTTAGAAAGAGAAAGATATTTGTTAAATAGGTATTAATGAGATATAGCTCCCTCAACGAGATGAGATATGATTCCAGTGGCAGTTGGGATAGAGCTATTAGATAGATGGAGCCATTCCTTTGGAATAAACCACTCATCATAATCATTGATAATCTTCTCCACTTATATGACTTATAAGAGGAGAAGGCTATCAATGAGACGTAGCCCCCTGATGAGATGATATAATATAACTTATGACCTGAGATGAGAGTGCCATAAGTCAGACGTAGCCACCCTTAGGAGAACAGGACAGTCAATGAGCCGTCTTATATTGGTTCTCTCGTATGACCCCTGTTGTACTTGTATGCATATACTTTATCAAAGACTAATGAGATTAGTTGCATTTTATACACTAGCATGTTTGCTATTAAGTTTTGAAAGATAGTCATTCATGAAGCATTGTGTTTCCATTACTAGTCCATGGTAGTTCAAGTCTTTAAGAACACTATGCTATAGGCTGAGGTGGTTGGGTATTGACCAACAATACCTTCCAGAGATCATGTTTTTTGTTGAAAATCTGGTCCTCAAAAGTATGCTCTAGACAAGCAGATTTGCAGAACTAATAAGGCCTTGTTTCCAATTACTAAATAATATTAGAATGTTATGTTTGATTAACAAAATAGAAAAGAACAGTCTATGATGTTAGATAATTATTTTGAATGATAATTCAATCAGGCCAGTTGTAAAGAGTATGGGCAAGAATTTAGAGCAGCAGTACAAGAAGAGAGAGCTGCTAGAGATTTTCTTAAATCCAAACGGCAGGAGATGGATTCAGTTCAATCCACCATGAATAGATTAAATGATGCAATTTCTGTAGGGGATATCGATAGCAAGGTATGCATTCATTTTGTTATTCCTGAGATATTTACCAGGATTTGATTCTTATGTCTGTTTTGTTATGTTAACTTCTCTAGATTTATAATTTGGTTTCAGATTAGAAACATGGAACACATGATTCAGCATGAAACTCTGCCTCTAAAAGAAGAAAAGCAATTGATAAGGGTTTATTCTCCAATTAAAAGTTGATTCAACAATAAAAATAAACCGGCTGCCCCATAGTTTCTTGGTCATATTCTATGCAAATGAACACAGAATAGACGTCTACTTCACCGAAACTAACATGAATATCATTCGCCACAAATTCAATTGAAATCAAAACGAGAACAAATTTTCACGGTATAAATTTCAATCGAATTCAAACAAAACATGACAACAACTCAACATACACAAATAGAATGGCATCCGACACAATAAATTCAGCATAATCCAACACTACTACAAAATCAAACGTAGTTATATAAACAAATCAGCAACTCAGTTGAACAAAATTGAGAGAAAACAATTACCGGGATGTTAAATTTGTCAGAAGAAGTGAAGTTGCTGTTTGTTGTTGAACAACGACGGAAGTAGGCGCGGAGAATTGATGAAGCTTGATAAGGATAATGAGGCTAGGCCGTTAGCACACAGTGCAGGGAATTGTTGCGCACAGAGAAAGATTGAAGGATGGTGCTGACGAAGAAAATAGAGGCGGATCTGCCGTTATCGTTGACGTGTTGGATGCAGAGAGAGGGATTTAGATAGAAGATGGTTATTTGATGATGGATGATGCGGATTGAAGGTGGATGATGTTACGGTGGGTTGGTGGGTGACGGTAAATCCAAACATACCCTGAACAATAAACCCTATAATACATTTTATTTTTAATTATTGAAATATATATATATTTAGGGATAGTTTTGTAATTTAACATATAAGCGGGTGTGGTTTCGGGTTTCGGGTGCGGGTTTAAGCTATCCCAAACCCACACCCGAAATATCGGGTGGCACCATAACCCGAACCCAAACCCAGTCAATTCGGGTTTCACCCGTTGACTCGGGTGCGGGTGCGGGTGGGGCCCGCGGGTTTGGGTCTGCTTGCCATCCCTAGGTGGGATGACCACCCCCGAGACCAAACCTAGTTCACCAAAACCCAATCCAAGAACCTTCTGGATTTCCATAGCCTTGAGTATGTCCTCCAACTTCTTATATTATCATCCGTAGGAGGATACTGTTCATCAAAAAGTCTTAATCTTCAGGAGTATTCTTATAACCCTGATTGTTCCTGCCTTCATTCTTGATGCTTCTACCATCTTCATCATGGTTGTCATCTTCTTCAGAGGAGACATCTTCCACTTGGACAGGTTGAGCAAGACCTTTGAACCTTCTCCCCATATTGAGGACAGTAGAAGGCTTCTTGGTCTTGTTTTTCTTGGCGACGAGCGCCAACAACTCTTTTTCTCCTTGTGCCAGATTCATGAGAGTTTCTTGGAATTTTGTATTTTGAGCCTTAAGATCCTTAACAATTTTTTCGAGGGCCATTTTTCTACTGAAATAAACAGCGAGAAAATGAGAAACCTGTATGAAAAACTTGTTATGAATTGAGGCATGATATGTAAATTCAATTATTTCAAGGACTTCAGGAGATTTAAATTTTCTAACCAAGAGGAAACAAAAACAAAGATTTTATTAGAAGAGTTCAAATTACAACTATCTTTTAGGCTTACAATGACAAAAAAAGCTCTCAAAGAGACAATAAAATGACCTCCTAAAATCTAAGAATCAAGTCTCCCATGGACGCTTCGTCTTTGTGTTGATGTATGTATTAAGACTCTGCTCCTCGTGAAGTTACTTTGTGAGCTCCAACACTTTCTTCTCACTTGCATAGAATTGAGTCTCAAAGGTGTCCCGTTCTTCTTTCAGTTGGATCCAAGACTTTCGCACCTCTTCAAGGTTAGTAGCCATGTCTGGATAAAGAATGGTATGAGAAACGTCTCCTTCGACAATAGGCTCCATGATCACCGGTAGGACAAGTGAATATGGCACCATGAGGTTTTGAGTGCGAGCTCGTACCCATTTGAGATAAGGCTCCAGAGGGATGGAATTCTTCTGCCCTAAAGCCTTACTATCAATCTTGCTTACCATTCCCCAAGAACGTATAAACCTCCAACGATAACCTTGAGAATCATTTTCGTAATCAAACATAATCCCCTGGATAAGTGCGTCATGAGGACCATCTCTTCGAGCGTAACCAAACTGGCGTAAGGCCAAGGAAGGGTTGTAAGTAATACCTCCCCTAATGCCGAGGAGTGGAACATTAGGGAATTCCCCATAGTGATCAATAATAGTGATGTCTTCATGAAATCGGGAACACCAGTAAATATTTGTATGAGAAAGTAACATTATTCTTTGCGACCATCTCAAACCTTGTTCATTCTTCATTACTGATTAGGGAAGGTGCAAAATAAACCACCTGGATAGTAGAGGAATACAAAACATAAGAGTCCCTCTCCTCTTCATGGTACGAGTGTGAAGCGAATGAAGAATGTCTCCGAGCAAGGTAGGCACAGGATTACGAGTGATAAAAATATTGACAGTGTTCATATCTATGAGTTAGTCTGGATTATGGAATAGTACTAACCCATAGATTAGAAGAGCCAAGATATCCTCAAAATCCTGGAAACTCATAGCATCTAGGAATAGTTAAGCCTTCTCAACAAGAAATTTAACCAAAAAACCTTTGACTCCGCTTCTTGTTTCCTAGTTGGATATAATGTCGTACCACTTCAGATGTAAGGCTGCTGCAATAACTTCTGGCTTCGGAGTTTCCTCTAAACCAGTGAAGGGAATCTGATCAAGAATAGGTAATCCCAGTAATTGAGAGAACTCCTCCATAATGGCTACTGTGATACGGTGGGAGAACTGACTTGAGATTTTGCGTTTGTGTTCGCAAATGTTTCGGTTTAGCAAGAGTCGCCACCGACTTTTTATTTTATCCTAAGGAAAGGTCAAAAAGCACAGGAAAGACCTTTGAGATGTTTTCGTGGGTTCGGGGGGTAGATTATGAAAAGGGAAGGTGCTAGCACCCTTTTCATCCATGGTTATCCATGGGCTCTTAGTTACTTATTTTAGATCACTTGCCTTTGCTTTTCAATTGTTTGAAATGGTGCTTTGTGTGTGTGGTTTTGAAAATGTTTTGAAAAAGATGCCTTGTCTAGGCAACCTTTGTAATGATTCTTGTTTGAATATATACAAAGGTGTGTGTCTTTTTGAAAAGATATTTCAATGTTTTGAAAGTTGTTTTGAAATTGTTTTGTAGTTGTGTTGTGAAGTGTGTTTGAAAAATGGCAAGGATGTTTTGCAAGTTTTTGATCAAGTAACTAAGAGTTGTCTACCCTATTTTACTCAAAAGATCTTTCTTATGTTTTTAACCCTTTTAAAAGTGTTGTTTCACCATTGTATTTGGTGAACAACCTTGCGTTAGGATGTTAAACGGGACAGGCGCGAGTCATCGTATACAATCATTGAAGGCAACTTGTGAGACGCTCTAGCAATTTTGTAAGGGACGAGATCATTTTATCGAAGGCAACATCGAGGGTTATTTAGGGACTACGATCTTTGTTTATCGAAGGGACATTTGCTAGAGGGTCTCATACCCGAGGGACATGATTGCATTTTCCGAGGCAACAAGCGAGATTACCCTAAGGGTGCATGTGTGCAAACTGGGTTTTATTGCATGCATTTGTCTTTGATTTTTAGGTTGTCTACTTGTTGATTTTATCTTGCCATACACGCCTAATTACTAGCATTTGTACAAAGTAAATAAAATGCAGAAAGATAAAATCCTACGCTATTACAACCATATCGAAAGGCATAAAAAATATGAAGGAAAAAATAAGATAAAAGTAATAAAAATGAGTGTCTTTCGACCCAGGAAGTAGCACCCTTCGAATTGCATTTTGTTGGCCTCCTTCGATTGGGGCTAGCACCAGTGAGGTCATGGCCTTCGATTAGGGGCTGGCACCAGTGAGGTTCTGTCCTTCGATTGGCCTGGAAGTCAGTGTATGGCGAAGCCTTCTGGTTCTGCCTTGTTGCCTTGTTGTCTTCTTCAACTGGAGTTTGAAAGCAGTGAGGGAATGCCTTTCGACTGAGCCTGGAATTCAGTGAAGGCATGCTTTTCGTTTGGGCCTAGAAGTCAACATGGTTTTCCTCCTGGTTGTCTCTTTCGTTTGACCTAGAGAAAGAGGGTAAAAGCCAGAAGCTTCGTTTCCTATTTCCTGTTTCCTGTTTCTTTCATTTAAAGCATTTAAATGGAAACATGGCCTGAGGCCATGCTAGTATTTGTCTTGCAAACAGTTTAATAGTTAAAACTAGTTCAGGTAAACAGAAAGCAAAACGAAAGGGTTAACTCTAAAAAACATGTTAAAAGGGGGGAAACCAAAGGAACAATGGTATATACATGCTTGAAACGAACGAAAAGATTATTTACATGTTATGCTATGAAATGAAAGGTTCAAGGGTAAGAGTGACTTACCTTGATGGAGGCTTTGAATGGGTGTGGGACCTTGAGTGGAGGCCCAAGGTTCTGGATTTGAAAGAGGGGGCCAACAACTGTGCTTGGAATGCTGGATTCGAAGGAAGGAAAGAAACAAGTCTTATGTTTCTTTCCAAACTGGATTCAAAGGATACTGAAGAGTACTTGTTCTTCAGAATCGAAGGAAGTAAGTATGTGATTCTGGGTTTGTTCTCACAAGTGTTGAAGGGACTTGAGAGATTTGTTGTGTTTGAGAAAATTTGGGTGATTCGTTCCTCTGGTCCAAAGATCCTCTTCAACTTTGCAAAAGTTCCTCTATTTATATAGAAGAGTGGGTGTGTTTGTCCATAGCCAGCCTTGCAAAGAATAATAAAATAATGTGGCGTGAAAGTACATGTGGGGGCCTCTTGGCAGTTGGGGTGCAGAAGATGTGACTTATGCTTCTGGCCCTGCTTTTCTTTCAGCCAAAATTCAGGTGGAAAGATGCTTTTATGATAAAAGTACTTTCTATGAAAAGAAAGGGTATGTAGCCTTTAACCAAGGATAGTATTATCCAAAAGACAAAGTTTAAAACCCTTATACAAGCCTCTGCTTATGTAAAGATTCGGAAGCAACATAGCCTGGCAAACGAGATTTGGTCTTGAGTCAAATGCAAGAATGAGATCGAAGCGCACTTG